ATATCTATTGAGTTTTCGTTTATTCTTTGGAATGTATGAAAGTTTAAATATTTTTTTTAATTTAATGTAGATTGGAGTAAAATATCTGTATCTTTCTTCATTTCAATCGGTAATATCTGTATGCTGGTAAAGGTACGTATGTTCGTAAGAATTATACTGTGTCACATTTTTGACAATCTTCTTTCATTCATATTAGCTAATAAGAGAATTATTGAAGTTAGTAAAGTAATGAAAATCAACGTTATTGAAAGAAAAAAAAAACTCTAAAAGCATTTACATTTCCAGAAATATATCAAAGTTCCTTTTCTTAAAAACAGCAGGTGTGTATCGTAGTTTTTATTTCGTTAAAAGCTGAACTTGTAAAATAAAAATTTTCTATTAGTGTAAGGTAAACAAAAAGAAAATCAAGAGACAATCCGTATCATGAATGAAATTCAAGTCTTACATCGGATTAAAAAGAAATATTCTGAATCTAAATGTTTATGCCTATTTAGCACAAAATGCGTTTATTTGTGTTATAAATTTAACTAAAACCATTCTTATAACAGTATGTTGCCTTTAAACTGGGTAAAAAAGTGTTAAGTATATTTTCTGATGGTATTGATATACTTGTCAAAGAAGTTCTAGAAACCTCAAATGTCGAAAGAGCATATGATAAGAATCTCCTTTCCTATCGCTACGTCAGTTACAGGTTAAGGGGTGGCTTGAATGGATAAAGGTAATGTTTGTGCAAAAATATAGTAGTTCTATTTTGAAATGAGAAATAATTCGCTTTTTGTCAATTAAGGAAACTTGTGGTATTATTAAACAGAATGTCAGTGAAAGAAAGACATTGCGTTTGCATAGTGAATTATGAAGGTACTGAAAGGTAGTAAAGAAGAAGGTGAATGAAAGAATTAATTTGAACAAATAAGGTAAGGCTATCATTAAAAGAAAAAAAAAACTGTTTAAAAGATGTTATGTTAATTAAAAGTAAGATGTTAAAATTTAAAAAGATGTAACAGAGTAAAACCAAAGAATACTGGTAATTCCCATCTGGAAAACAGTAATTTGAGTACGATACGATATTGAAAAAGTTGGTTTTAAGAATTTCTTTATGCATGTGATGCAAAACAATTGCTAGTTTATCATGAGTGCTGACATAGATGCAATTAGTGCAGGAAAAATAGTAAAATTAGTATAGTTAGTGTCTCTAAAACATGAAAAAAAATAATAGTGTGAGCAGTGTAAATTCATTTGAAGTACTGAAATATGACATAGACTAAATATCAGAAATCAGAAAATGTAAGAAATATTTTGGTATGTGTGGGATGAAACACTGAACGTGGTTGTAAAATTAGAAATTAGAAATGAAAATTATCAACACACTTAAAGGTAATCGGGATTTAAAACTAAACATGATGTTAGAAACTTTGAGAAACTTTGAAGACCATAAAACTATATGAGAAAGAAATACATTTAGATATAAATGGTATTAAACTGTAAAGTTGTGAATGGAAATTTCTGAGTAAAACCTGTAGATGATCTATTATGATCGAGGAATAAAACAAGTATTATAAAAATTGTAAGGAAATATTTGAATATGGAGTAAATGAAAACAATCCATATCGTTAAAATGAATAAAAAGGGATAAAATAAAAGTTGGAATTGGAATTACGAGTGATGAGACAGAAATAAAAACATTATAATAAATAAGTTAAGCTAGAATTAAGAAATATAAACACAGAAGGGAAATCATGAACGTAAGAAAAGCAATTAACAGTTATAGACTTAAGTTTTTTTAAAAAAATATTCGGTAATGTAAGGAAGATATTGTTAAACACGTGAAAGAAATTAGAAATTCTGTAGAAAATTTAGTAAAAGAAAGAACTAAGATCACGAAAAATAAACGTTTCTTTTTAAATACAATTTCATACCACTAAGTTAAAGTGTGTATAGAATACTAGAATGGTGAATAATTAAAAAAGTTAAATTAAAAAAAGAATTATAACGTTAAAAAAAGTGTGAAATTGCATCTAAAATTAAGTAATGTAACAAATAAACAGCATGTGCGGGAACGTTTGTGAAATATAACATATAAGTTAAAAATCAGGGTATGCTGAAATTTATGAAAGGTATGAAAAAAAATAGTATGTGGAAATTAAATAAAATATTACAAATTAGAAACGTTAAGTATTAAAAAAATATGACAGTAAATGAATATGTTATTATGAACAGAAAAAAACCTGAGAAATAAGTTAAAGTTTCATGGAAAAAACTAGAAAGGATAAAAGTATCAGAATAAAATTGAGAGTAATAAAAAAAAAATCAAATTATCTTGTAGTTATCATTAAAGGAAAGTCTTTTTTTTATATTTGTTTCTTTTACATTGTTTTCAGAGTCGCGCATTGAATAATTTTAACACCAGACTTAAAAAATATATTTCTAAAACATATAATTCACTTTTTCGTCAATAGAGGGCAGCATCGCATATTCATCAAAATTAAGATGCAGAAAATATTTCCCGTTGCCAATTTAAAAAAAACTAACTTTAAATGAAAAGCAGGAGGTCTACAACTCAATCAGCAATCTACCAAACACTCAACTCCACTCGTGACCACGCCTCCTAGTGTGATGACGTTGCCTTTGGCCCCCCGCCTCTGTGTGACGTCATTGACCACGCCCACACCCCACACCCCGTGTCGCAGAACCCCCATTTTTATCTACTACGTGCAAAACGAGATTATAGAAAAGCTAAGCCGAAATTTTGCGGTGCGTTTTTAATAAATTCTTTTAATTATATAAAGATAAATGTTAATTGACTAACTGTAACCATAATTCTACTCTTTTTGCTTTCGAGAAATTGGTAGAACAATCTCGTGCGGCCGATTTAAAAAGCTGTAAAAGCCAAAGAGAGAACATCTCAGCCCGGTTGTTTTATGAGTTTGTTTAGAAATCTGTTGTTGTTTACCGTAGCGAATTCGCGGTATAATCAGATTAGGTTTCTATGTTTTGAATTAAGTTCTGTTGGAGGTTTGAATAGTTTAATAGATAACTACTGTGAGATATTGCAATATTGCACGAATATCTGAATAAATTTAAGCATTTTGTTTTATTTGTTCTGATAATAATAAATTTTATTCACTTTTCATCGGACATCTGCATTCAATTTATTACGAACCCGTACGCACGCAACAATATTATTTCAATTCTGATCATTAAAAAGTAAAACAATGAGATACACTTGTGAGGGGTTACAGGGAGCTTAAGACAGTCGATTTACATAAGAAACTTGGAATAAAGCGTACTAATAGACGAAACTTTTAATTTAGTATGGTGGTGTGTGTATTTAATTATGGCAAAGCACATTAGGGCTACCTGCCTAAGAGGAGGGATGCCTTCGTGGAGGACTTTCTAAGGGAAACTCGCTCGTATACACGTTACACATGGGGAAAACCACGAAAACGCCCATGCAGCCAGCCCGTTCGCTGGATTCGAACTTCGGACCGAACTACCAGTGTTCAGCGACTTTACCGCTCGGCCGCTGATGAGCTCTTAATTTAGTAAACCATGGCTTTAGTTATTCAGAGATAAGCGTACTTTTCAGTACAGAAATTCATGAATTCGATCTTCTATGAAAGTGAATGTTTTAAAAGGAAGCATGCAGTTCAACCCTAATTATATATTAAATGATATTTAAACTTTCTTCCATGTGGCAATGCACTAATTGCAGACGAACTCACTTTAACATGCAGCTGCTTTTCTAACTGATTATAATGGAATAATTATTCTAATAACTGTAACAATTGTTGTAGCCATTAAATGAAGAAACTGATTACACAGGGATGCATGCATCAAATTGATTTTGGTCTTGAAACTATATATTTTACCTGAATTGAAATATTGGTAATCTCTCTACGTTTAAAATTAGGTAAAACTGAATTTTGTATTTAATTTTACTTACAGAAATTTCATTTAGAGAAAGACATTACCCGTCCATTCATTTTAGACAAAAGCTCTAGTTTCTAGTACAAATAGGAATCCATCCTTTTTTATGATACCAAGTTCAAGAATTTCTACCAGAAATAAATAAATCTTAAAAAGTTTTCGTCCTTTGCAATCTCAATTTTTGTTTCTAAATTTTTTCCACATTTAAAATTGGGCAGAATTGTATTTTAAACTTCACTTACAGGGATTTTATTTAGAAAAAGGCTATACATGACATTCATTTTAGGTAAAAGCTGTGTGTGTTTAGGTGTGGTGTGGTGTAGTGTGGTGTATTTATTTATGGCAAAGCACACTAGGGCTATCTGCCTAAGAGGAGGGATGCCTTTCGTGGAGGACTTTCTAAGGGAAACTGGCTCGTATACACGTTACACATGGGGAAAACCACGAAAACAACCATGCAGCCAGCCCGTTCGCGGGATTCGAACCTCGGACCGAACTACCAGTGTTCAGCGAATTTACCGCTCGGCCGCTGGTGGGCCTGTGTGTGTTCAGAAAGCTGTTTTAGTTATTAGAAAATAGTTTCTTGTATAACAAAAATTCTTCTTTTTTATGATACCAAACTATTCCAAACCATTCTGCAAGAAATGCATAAATGTTAAAAAGGTTTCCTTCCTTTCTATTCTAAATTTTTCAATAGGTGGATGTACATCTGTTGCTCCTTTTATTATTTGCATCTCGTTTTTTTTGTGTATTTAAGCAACGCAATTCTGACAAAATTGTGTACAGAATATTTTGTGCTAGAATTGTACAGAAATGCACAGCGAGTTTGCTCCTTTAAGAAGAACCTGTATCAAATTCCTCGGAAAGCATTAACCAGCCTTTTCTTCAAACCTCAATCTAAATTTGTATTTGTGTAATTCTAAATTTATATTAGCGTGCTTCGCTTAAGTATATTAATCTATCTGATATATCTACGTTGCTCCATTTTACAACTAATTTACGGCTTTTAAAGGATTTTGTGATTAAATTGAAATGTTCAATTTACGCTGTAATAATAATTATTTTTTGTATTTTTAGTTCCCAAACAACTGAGTGTAAAAGGTACACTGACAGTTCAGAACTGTGAAACGAAGCAATACTTCACATTGAATAATGACCAAATAGCCATCTTGTAAGTAAAATATAATTGCTTTGTTGACTGTGATTTATTATAACAATAAAACCACGCATCATCCGCAGTTTAAGAGATAATGTGAATTTTTCCATAGCACAGAGATTTTTTAACTTTATTTCTTTCCACTAGAAAAAAAGCCTCGTTAGTTTTGACTTAGTTAGTTGATTAAAACAATAATCTATTACAACTAATTTTTATAAATAAAATAATGTATTTATTATAAAATTATTAAAATGATAAAAGCTTAATAACAGGTTATAAAGTTACCTGAATATACAGTCACTCCTCTTCCAGTATCATATTTTTAAAGCTCCGAACCGAGTATCTATCATTTCAATGTTTAAGTTTATTTATTTTGTCCGATATGAATTGTCAGTATCGCATCTCTCAAATCACTCAACTTTACAACCCCCAACGTTTTTTTTAAATGTTTGGCAGTAGCCATTTTAGGCATTCGCCTCTACTAAGAGCAGAAGCGGTGGACATTTTACTATGGAGGCACCTAATAGACGGCCACCGTTAACTCCTATGAAAGGAACAGATAATTTACATCCATGCCTTTTCTGAGATTCTGACTCGCGCATTACGGTACTTCACTCAGAATCCCCAACCACTTTTCCCATCTGGGTGGCCCACTTTACAAACCTAAGGATTTCTATTAAGAAGTTTAGTATTTTCCAGAAAATTTTCTCCTCGTGAAACCATTGCTTTACCAGCCCCCCTGGATACAGTAAAGTTCTAGGGGGTGTTGGCTATTCTCCTTAGCCTTTTCCCATATTGCTGTCTCTAACCTTTTCGCTTGAAGACAGTAGCTTGGAAGAAAAGGTAATACAATTAAAGCATGGTTTTAAAGGTAGTTGTATATGTTGGGCTTTAAAATTTACTGGAAGAAAATGTTAGAGTCACAAGAATATAATAATATAGTCACAAGAATAATTAATATATATTCACAAGAATATAGACAAGTCACAAGAACTTAGAAATTTGTTCTAAAGAAAAATCTTTCTGAGAAAATTTTTGGGGGGGGGAGAGGGAGAGAATACAAAAAAATCTGGGAACAATCCCCAGTTTATTATCAACAGAAGGCATTCCAAACACCTATTATTTACTATGCTTGTGATATTAACGTTAATATAAATACTAATTTCTTAAACAAACATTTTTAAAAAAATAAGAATAGCAAGGTGTGACGCCATTAATAGTTGATATTCTAGTAAAACAATTTTCTTATCATCGGAAATTACATTATGACATTAATATATTCCTAATTCAATTACATATAGTATAATATTGATATATTCCTTTGTTGATACTTATAACGATGCTCAATAATGATTTTTAAAGGTGTTATATGGAGTAAAATGAAAAAAGTTTTCTATTTTTCCAGATCTAAAATTTACTTTGGAAAAGTGACAAACAAAAAAGAATACAATATTTTCTTTTAAAGTATTTTGTTTTCTTTTGAAGTCATTGATCTTGCAATTCTGATGCTATTATTTTTGACGGTATTATGTTCTGGCAGCACTTATTATACAGAGATGTATAGGCAATCAATGAGAATTTTGGGATGAGAATGAGAATAAAAATCGCAACTAAAAATACACTAGTTTTAAAAAGTGTTAATCTAATGCAAAGTGTATTTTAGATTACTTATATTTCTTTTCCGTATAATTGCATAATTTTATAATTGCATTTTTCTTCCTCCGCGAATCAGGTAAATCCGCTTACGGAATCTCTTTTGCAAAACCCCTAGAAGGGATCTTAGAAAGTTTGCAGTATTTTTAAAAATCTGGCTTTATAACTGCATACCAAAAAATATCACATTTTGTTGAGAACCTGAATGTCGATCATTTATTTCTGTTAACAGAGATTTAAAAAATTACCATTTTTATTATATTTTCAGTACCTTTATATTTTCAAGTCAGTTCTGCAATTATATTAAATTTTCGACTAGACAAGTATTTATATATAATTAGAGCTTTTATTATCATGCCGACGTTAGATTTTAAATCCATTTATGAAAACATAGAAGACATATTTATAGATTCTTCTTTTTCCAGAGCTGTAATAGGCACCATGGCACTTCTCCTAATTATAGGAACATCTCTAGACGTTATTACTCGAATCAGGCAAGGAAATGATCCTGAACCTTTGTCCATCACAAAAAGTAAATATTTTTTATAATATACGCACATTATTTTTTCATGTATTTTTGAAATATTTTTCTTTTTTATAATGTTCATTACAATAGAAAGAAAACAGGGAACCTGATTTATTGCATTCCAAAGACATTTAGGATATTTAAATTATAGATAACAGCAAAAGCCTTTGGGGTAGAGTTGAGTTATTTGCATTCTTTAATTTAATTAGGAAGATAAAAAATTATCGACTTTCATAATTTGTAGAATCGCAGTGCATGAAATAGAAATTGGTTTTCTAACAAACCCCAGACTGAAAATTATGAATAGACCTTACAAGCCTTAATCTTTCCTTGTTTTTATATTTAGAAATGAAAATTGGGCAAAACTGTGAGCATAAATAAATCGAAATGGCAACACTTTTCTTATCACCATACCATAGTATAACAGATGGAAATCTGTATTTATTTTTTATGACTTAATTTTATTTATAAATAAGACATACTGTATAAAGACTGAGAAATATTGTAATCTAATGTAAAATATTTCAAAAGTCACAATTAAAAATCTAAGGGCTTACCTTTTTAAGCTTTCCAGTTTGTCTGCTAGGAAATTAAAATGCCGGAAAGAGCTAATAAATGTGTGTGTGTGTGAGTATGGCAAAGCCTCGAGGGCTATCTGCCTAGGAGGATGGATGCCTTCGTGGAGGACTTTCTAAGGGAAACTGGCTCGTATACACGTTACACATGGGGAAAACCACGAAAACGCCCATGCAGCCAGCCCGTTCGCGGGATTCGAACCTCGGACCGAACTACCAGTGTTCAGCGACTTTACCGCTCGGCCGCTGGTGGGCCCAAAGAGCTAATAAAATTAAGCGAACTTGGAAAGTTGGTTGAATAGAATACCTGCTGGCATTGGCATTCTGAAGAGCACAATTATCCCGGCTTCTTCTTCCAGGAGTAAAAATATTCTTTAAAGCGGTGATGGTTTGAAGAAATACTATTTTTGAATAATAACTGGGCGCAAAGAAATCCTGCATTACATTAGTTAGTAGTTAATCAAATCAATTTTAATTTATATGAGCCTTTAAACTAATTACTAAAGAACCTAAAATAAGTTTGTATCTATTTTGATAATAGGGAAATTAAGAAATAAGAAATTATTTAAAAAAATTTAAAAATTAAAACTAAAAAAAAAATTAAAATTATAGCTTTAATGAAATATGGAATAACAGAAGCATTATTTTTTACAATATTATACATATTTAATTTCATTTTTAAATTAAAGTTTTAAAAACGTAAATTATAAGTTTAATTTTATTTAGAAAAAAAAAGAACAAGGGATAAAGATAACTGGAGCAGTGAACATCCGTAGTCCGAATAAATGGAATTCTACTAAACTGTGAAATTTTCTAATCCAACAAAAATTGAAATCGATCTTTTTTGAAACGAGAAATATTTATTCAATATATTCGTATGACAGATAAATTAATACATATAAATTAAATAAAAATTTTCATAACCCTGAATTCTTCAAAACGTTGAAAATTGGTGAAATAGATTCTATTGAAATGTAAACAGCAGATAATCACGTAAATTCTTCGCTTCTGCTTTTGACATCCATAATATCACCCAATCTGTATGGTGGTTAGGGAAGTTTCAGCAGCAGATTCGCTTTCCGGGTAAAGAATACTTGTAGTTGTAGTACCTATGTGAAATAAAGAACTTAGAAATTTGTTCTAAAGAAAAATCTTTCTGAGAAAATTTTGTTGGGGGGGAGAGAGAATACAAAAAATCTTGGGAACAATCCCCAGTTTATTATCAACAGAAGGCATTCCAAACACCTATTATTTACTATGCTTGTGATATTAACGTTAATATAAAACTAATTTTCTTAAAACAAACATTTTTTAAAAAATAAGAATAGCAGGTGTGACGCATTAATAGTTGATATTCTAGTAACAATTTTCTTATCATCGGAAATTACATTATGACATTAATATATTCCTAATTAATTACATATAGTATAATATTGATATATTCCTTTTTTGATACTTATAAACGATGCTCAATAATGATTTTAAAGGTGTTATATGGAGTAAAATGAAAAAAGTTTTCTATTTTTCCAGATCTAAAATTTACTTTGGAAAAGTGACAAACAAAAAAGAATACAATATTTTCTTTTAAAGTATTTTGTTTTCTTTTGAATATCTGGTGCATGATCGAAAGTCTAACGATCATCATTAGGAAATGTTTAGTTTTCTAAATTAATTTGCTAATACATTCGCCGCATACTGACTTGAAAATTTTCTGTCTTTTGAGTCTAAGACAAATATGACAAATTTAATTCTTTTAGCTTCATTAATTTCATTATATCTTTTTATTTCAGAAATGTATTACAAATTCCTGGTGTGTTTCTCCGTGTACAGCAACTACCTAAAATTAATCAACGTAAAAACTAACGAAAATAACCGACACCTTGGTGCAGTCAACGGACTCCGATTTATTACAGTCACGTGGGTTATTGTCGGTCACACCTATCTTTACGCTGACTATAATATGATGAGTGAGTTTCTGTTTTTTGTAATATAGTAAAATGTTATGTTGTTTTTATTAGATGTTAGTTATTATTTATTAGATGTAGATATTATATGTAAATAGCAAGTCTTCAAGTACTGCTTGTTAATTTATGCTAAAGGTGCAATGGAAAACTTAATTGTGTATCTTTAGAGTTCCAATATAAATTTATTGCATGAATGATATACATACCGTTTATTCAAGTTCCCTAATTCATAATGAAATCTACTTGTGAGTCACTTAAGAACACTCCAGTCCATGACGTTAAATACTGCTGTTACTTTCCAACAACCGAAAACGTAAATTGCAACACTCTCTTCTGTGTATTTGCTTTAATTCTTAAAAAATGAATTATTCTGATTATTACAGCAATAGCCATGTCCTGCCTCTGTCCTTCAAACTTACTTTCCCATAAAGGGATCGGGGACATGCAGAGTAAATATTAAATTCTTATATTGAATCAAGACCCTAGGAAAGATGTATGCCAAATGTTGAGAAAAATGGTACTTTTGTCAATAAACGTTTTTTGGTTGATATGCTAATGCTCTATTGCTGGCCCACTGCTAGCGAAATGTTAAAATTTATTCAACAATTAATCGAGAAATTTTCACTAAAATATAATCGAACTTTAATAATAATCTAAAAATTAGTCAGGCTAGAAACAATCAAACCAAGGAAAAATTATGCATACAAGATATCACGCGTCTTTGATTCTGTCCAATCGTTATTGAGTTATTTGCATTGAAAGCTAATTGTGATTTAATGACCATTTCTATATATTGCTAGAACATAACTAACATTTCTATATAGTGTTAGAAAACAGCTAACTGTTAACTATTTAAATGGTGTAATTACCGTTAAGAAATTATGAATGTACGAAAATTAAATTATCTACCGCAAGATCTTTCGTTGTATCTTTATGGTTTAGGTATAGGTCATACACTAAAATAATTTAGAAGATATTTAATTCCTAAAATAAGAGCTACAAAAATTTAAACCTCGAATTTTAAAGAAAATATTTAGTATTGTATGGTATACTAGGAAATTGATTCAGAAGTCAAACAACAAAAATCAGCGTTAATTCACAAAATTTTCACAGGACTAGTTTCGATGGTTTTACCGAACCATCATCTTCAGCTGCAAAACCGCGGTTTTGCAGCTGCAAACGGTTTTGCAGCTGAAGATGATGGTTCGGTAAAACCATCGAAACTAGTCCTGTGAAAATTTTGTGAATTAACGCTGATTTTTGTTGTTTGACTTCTGAATCAGTATTTATTCGGCGTGTTATTGTGTCTTAATACTAGGAAATGCTAACTGTATTGAATATTCGAGAATTTGTAGCTCTTTTCTGGTATTCTGTAAAATACCTTTTTTAATATAGTAAAAAAATAAACATCTGAATTTAATAGACTAAAATGTTTACATAACAAGTTATAAATACTTCTGAGAATGTCGTATAATTTGAGTTTTAAATAAAACCTTCTCATAGAATACATTCTTAATTTTTAAATGGATTCTGCCCCTATAAGAAAGATTTTAAAATCACATGGAATTCAAAAAAGTATTTATATATTTCTAACCAGAATGACGTAGTGAAATATTTTGGTACATATTTTTGATTTAATTGCTGAAAATTTATCTTTCATTATGTGAGAAAAAATTATCATATCTTATCACACGTAAGTCTCTTTCATAATAACTTTTCGCACGAAATTTCACTCTTAAAATTTTATCATATTTTCAGAGTATAGAGAACGTTTTTTCTGTTAATTAAGCACATGGTTTAAATTAAATGGATCAGTTACGTTTAATGAACAAGTTTTAATTGAAAGAGTATTATCATCTCGGTTACTGAAATTCTCTTTTTCTACATAGTATATAGATAACAGTCTCTTTTGTCATCGCTACTCAATAACTAAGCATTAATCGAAAATTTGTATATCAAGACAATATTAAAAATTATTGTCTCTTTCTTTTTAGAGCAAGCAAACAGATTACAATTTCTACCTCCTGATTTTCCTTTCCAAGTCATTGCTAATTCCATGTTAACTGTGGATACTTTCATCCTCATGAGGTCAGAATCATGATTTATTTATATGTTTAAAATTAATTAAATTATCAATTATTGAATTTTTACATTAACTTCTCTTTTTATTCCATGATCTGCATAATGATCGTGTTCTCTTTAAGTATCTGAAGCTGGATTTTTATTACATTATAGAGTTTTGTGTTACTGTGTCTGAATTAATATATATTAAACTGTTTTAAGTGAATGTTATTTATTCTACTATCTATCTGAACTATCATTCTTCGTTGAGTTATAGGATTTAGTAGCATTGTAATTAATTACTTTGAAATGCTTTCGCTTAGTAACCTATTTCACTATATCTGGTATTAAACACGTTTTTCAGCCAACTGATACATGGCTGATATTTTCATTAAATTTATATTTTATGTATTCGTTATTTTACGAAAATGTTATTTTTCAGTAAATGCCTGTTGTAACTTAATTCTTTGAAACTGTATAATTTTTTTTAAATTCAAAATTATAGCACTAAAATATACAAATATGATTTTCTATAAAAGCATTCCGAACTATATAATTATACGCGCTCCTTACACGTCATTAACCATATTTTTCATTTGCAAGTGACTCCTCTGTAATAACTAGATGTCACTCAATTTATTCACTGAGGTTATAAAGCATTTTCTCCGTCCTTTCCGCATGCCTTCATGTTTAAGTGGAAACAAGCTCGAGAGGTCCGAAATTCGAATTCCGATGAGGGCATTTTTCTTCAATTTCCCGACATCGAAAACATTCTGCGGTATTGTACTACTAGCGCTTGCACTAAAACGATGGTGGACGACAATTCGCCACCACCAGGATTTGGCGATTAACTCCACTCATCCCCAATCATCTTTTAAGGAGGGAAGTATATAAGGTATTTCTCCCTCCTTTCCGGTCTTTGAAAGCAGACTCGACGCGTATTCGAGAGGTCTGGAGTTCGAATCCCAGTGAGGAGACTGCACATTTTTCACGTTTCAGTATCGATATAGCCTAATGAGTCTATAAGGTGGGCACTAACCATCGGGTGCTTCACAACTAATATGCATACCTTCTTAAATCTTCTTGTATAAAAATTAGAATTAGAATTAAAAATCAGTGATTAAACGCATAAAAGAAAACTGATCAATTGGGAAACATATAGAGAATTGTAAAATACATTAAAGTTTATAAAAAGGCTATTTAATTCTTTTATAGTTAGCAAAGGATATTTTTATGGGAAATGAAAAGAAATATAGAAAATGACTCAAAGAAGCGTTGCATGGCAGCAGGCTGAGTCATCAGATTTATATTCATTGATGGAATAGTTAACAATTCGTAATGTTTAGTTGATTTTCAGAAATTATTTAGTAAAATCTCTTAAAGTCAGTGCTAGTAAATTGAGAATATTTAACAACATTCCAACAAAACAATAGATTGAAAAACCCAAGGTGTCAAAATGTAAGCAAATACTGTATTTAATTCTTCGTTACTTAAGCATCAGTATCATTCAGATTTGTTGCGTGTGATCGAAATAGCTTTATATAAAATAAGGAGCGAGGATTGTTTGAAACGTGCTCCAATAGGAGAAATTTTTAAGACACACTAGGAACTTTGTCATGTGGTGGCTGGCAATAATAAGCTCTAAAGATCATATAATTAAAAGCGAAACATCCTTTCACAGATTCGAACAATATTACAAAATGAATTCCTGTATGTGCATGTCTCTTTAGTAAAAACTAACGTTTGAAATTGCTTAAAAATGCTTCTCAGCTTCAGATAATTTTCAGTTTTTTAAGCTATTACAAATATAATTATCTATTTATTAGGTTTATGAAATAGAAAATCCTTGCGCATTATAGCCATTCGTTATTTGCTTTGAAAATAGAAACTATCTAGGAACATATTGATGCATTCCCAACTTTTGGAATCCTTGTGCGAATATGAAGACACTATTCCAAAGCTCATTTTAAATTTAAGGCAGGAGTCATCATTTGATTACGTTTAATGCCCATATTATTCAATTATATTTACATAAAACATCTTATGTTACATTTCACAAAGTACTTAACATTTCGTACAGAATATATTCCTAAAATTCACAAGTAATTAAACTTAAGAAATAAATGATAATTAATTCTGAAAACATTTTTCCAGCAATAGTATGTTTAATATTTCTTAGAGCCCTTAAAACAAAAAATATGTTTTACTAGACCAGAAATCTACTACTAAACGTGCATATTTTACTTTTATACCAATGCACGTAAATTCTGCACTTTTATCCTCTTTTAGCAATATGAAATTCATTTTGTCTGATAACAGTAAAATTGATTGACATCAAATGTTAACCATACCAACTTCGGATTCAGAGATTCTTCATAGTAAACATAATCATTAACTTATTCTACAGAAAGGAAATTATTTTTTAATTTGTTTCATGTGTTATCTGCTTTCAGTGGTATGCTGGTCACATATAGTATTCTCAAAGCTCAAGAGAAGAGGAAAGGTCTCAACATTCCTATGTATATATTCCACCGTTTCTGGAGGTAAGTTATGATTTCATGATTGTCAGTAACAATTTCCTTGATTAAGAAGGAAGCAAAGGTTAAAATATTAACATAATGTATTGGTTCCCGAAAGACTCTACATTGATAATGATAGTTAAGTTTCTATGGTTCTATAACAGACTGATGTACTATCGGAATTGAAGGGATGCTAGTATAGGAAGTAATCAAAAAATGAAAATTTCATTCAAAGCATTTTCCAAGAGAGGCTCAAAAGTACAACATCTAAACCTAATATAAACGGTCAACGATGACGCATTGGTAGTCATAGATTGTTGAATATACCAAACTGCTTGTCAAATGGAGCAACAGTGAACCAAAATCTGCTGAAAATATATACGCGACAGTCTCTTGCATAAGTAAGGCTGTACAAACATTCTCATCGAAAGAAATCCAGGCTGTGAAAAAGCTTATATATATAATGATCGAACATAATGTTTGGGCAAAAGCGTTCATTTTTTTTCGAAAGCAATAGCATTTCACCATTTTGCAATGCAACTAGCAACTCCATATCTGAAGTTCAAATTTGACTTCTAGGCATTTATGCATTGATTTTTCATAAGAGAAATCTATGGTGTGAATGAGGAAGATGTATTCAAAAATATTCATTAATAAAAACGCCATAAAACGCCTTCCAGCTTCTCATTGCTTCAATTCGGGTAAAACACTGTAGCATGAAACAACCCTGTAAAGTTTGTCCTATAAATCTGAAAGAAACCTGCATATTTTTCTCTTTATAAAAGAAATCTATTCACTTCTATCTGTACGTATAAGTTAACTACATACATTGCCTCAGGCAGAAATATATTTCTGCTTGAGACAGGGAAAAAACTCGAGGGGGAAAAACTGCAAGTTGGTCTTTTATTTACTAACCGCCTAATAAGACTTTTACGCCAGCGTTTCTTCATATTTTGCTCTGAAGAAGCCTTTTTTTATCATTACTCAAGGAAACACGTCTTAAAAATACCACGTCTGCAGCTTCGGTATATTAATTTAGTTAGTAAGCTGTGGGCATTATGATCCATTTACCTTTGGAAAATTTTGAATAAAGAAATTTTTTTGAGTTTTTTATTTCATTTAATGTTTTCACCGAGAATCAAGAAGACATAGCTACGTTTTTAAACAGTTTTCGAAGTCTGAATAAAAAATTTTGTTCCTGAGAATTTTATTTCATCTTGTGTTTTCAACCATAATGAAGACAACTTAAAATTATGTTTTTAAATATTCTTTATTCTTTTCTGCAGAATGTCGTCATATCATTCGTTTAGAATCAAATAAATTATACGTAAACTATCATTATATATTATATCTTGGTCACAGGCTACATCTCAACAAATGACTCGATTCTAAAAATGAAACGATCTTTTTGATTATAAATAAAAAACGTGAATGTGGAATATATAAAGATCTCATTCCAATCATTCGATTCATAAAAGTATCGGATCTCCCATCTTTTTAAATGTTCATTCGATTTTAAAACTTTTTCATTGATTTAATCTTGATAATGATGTAAACTTGAAAAATTTTTATTATATGAATAATTAAAATACATTTTATTAAAAACTGAAATACAAATTTCATGGAAACAAGTTTGTGCATCGATGTAATTATTTGTTCTGTGTTTAATGATTTTCTGTCAATTCGCAACTCGCAGCATTCATAAATATCAAAAGGACCAAATAATATTTATATCTAAAGAATAGCATTTATTTGTTCCCTTCATTTACATATGCTTTTAAATTTCTCAGTGTACTTCAGTCTAAAATATCTTTTTCAGCAGCTCCCAGTATCAATGATATCTCTTTACCTTAGCAAAAACAAATTTTATCTGTTCATTTTATTCCTTCTATTAAATCTTCTCTGTAGCTGCTATATTGTTTGCATGCAATATTAAAATAAGCTTTTGGAGAAAAGATGAACTTGTGCAACTTGACGTATTACTGAAGCAATGGTAGGTGTCACGTAACAGTTGCTGCCTAAGCTATCAAAGTTAATCTTAACGACTCTTTTGCAGTGCAAAGTCTTGAATTATCCCCCTATTTGATGTGGTAAAGAATGAAATATTATTTGCATAAATATATACTTTTGCAATTTTCTTTTCTCTTCCTCAAAATTTATTGCTGTCTTACTTTATTACTATCGTTTTTTAGACTTACTCCTCCGTATGCCATGATGATAGCATTCCTGATCCTCAGCCCCATCTTGGCTTCTGGTCCCGTGTGGAAAATAACTCTGGATCCCTTGATAAAGAACTGCAAAGCTAACTGGTGGACAAATCTTTTATATGTCAACAACTATGTTAATGCATACGATTTCGTAAGTACATTATTATCGTTATCATCATCTGCAGAGAGCATAATCGAATCATTAAAAGATTTGAAATCGAGATTTTGATATTCATTGATCCATTCAAATACAGTATTTTTTCTCATATCTGTTTATGGGCCCACCAGCGGCCGAGCGGTAAAGTCGCTGAACACTGGTAGTTCGGTCCGAGGTTCGAATCCCGCGAATGGAGCTAGCTGAGTGGGCGTTTTCCTGGTTTTCCCATGTATACCGTGTATACGAGCCAGTTTCCCTTAGAAAGTCCTCCACGAAAGGCATCCCTCCTCTTAGGCAGATAGCCCTAGTGTGCTTTGCCATATTTAAATACACCATACACCACACCATATCTGTTTATGCTGATAGATGGATAGTAAACAGATTATAATGAAATAAAACATATAATTGCCAACAAAATTAACATAACAGTTAATTATCTTTAAAGAATGCATGCAAATTGAACCTTAAAATCATTGAACTAAAGTTTAAAATGAGGAATGTGTATGCCAATTTCGGTATATGTCGGGTTGGCAAGAACGTTATTTCGGTTTGTATAAACAGAAAATGTTATGCTCGTTTTGTTAACCTTCTGTCAATCTTATAACTTTTATCCTTTTGAGATCTGACAGCTGACACTTTTAGGTCGTTTTACAAGTGTTAGTTTATACGGTCAATTTTAACATGGAGCGCAAAAATAAACATTTTCGACATATTTTATTTTTTTATTTTCACAAATGCAAGAATGCGGTTGAGGCTCACAAAGAGATACGTGAAGTTTGTGGTGTTGATTGCTTTACAGAATGCATGTGTCAGAGTTCGTTTAAATATTTTATTATGGATATTTTTAATTTAAAGATGACCAATATTCTGGCCGAACTTCTGAAGCTGCTGATGACATAATTAAAGCCGTAAGCGAACGAATCGTCATATAACTGCGAGAGATTGCAAAAGTAATGTATCACTCATAATTTCATCATACGTTTAAATGTATCACTCATAACAATTGAAAATCACATAAAATGTCTTGGATTCGTTAAGCAGCTCGATATTTGGATTCCGCGTGAGTGGAAAAAATTCACTTAACACATCGAATTAATATTTGCGATATGCATTTTAAACGTAATTCAATTAACCCCTTTTTTTAAATGAGTTTTTACTGGTAATGAAAATGGATCGTAGTTCAAACATCATGAATCAACACAAATCATATCGAAAGCCGAACTGCATCAGAAAAAGACTATGCTGTCAGTTTGGTGGGATTACAAAGGTGCTGTGTATTTTGAACTGCTACTAAGCAACAGAACGATCAACTCAAATGTTTACTGCCAAAGAACTTCTGAAGTTCGAGAAAGCAATCAAAGAGGGCCAGATTTCGCAAATCGCAAAGGAATCGTGTTCCACGGCGACAATACGAAGCCTTATACATCTTTATCAATATGAATGAAATTACTGGAACTTGGTTGGGAAATGAAGTCGTATACCCCACATAGCCTCGACTTTGCACCATCGAATTATCATTCATCGTTCATCGGATCACCATTATCGTTATTTATTTCGAAGTTATTTACAAAACTTCTTAAATGGTAAAATTTTCAGTAGTAATGATGATCTCAAATTATTTTTTGCTGATAAAAACCTTCTCTTACATGAATGCGGAATCATGAAGTGATCGGAAAGATTGCAAAAGGTCATCGAACAGAATGGAATATGTTTAACTGATTAAAGTTAATTTTTTTCTATCATTTTTTTTCTATATTCACTGATGTACTTTAGGAAAAAATAGTTTTATTTCACATTAAAAAATCAAAATTACTTTCTTATCAACCCAATATAAAAATCAAGCATTGCAATAATGTCAATTTTAAAGTTAGAAAATTTCGCAAGATAACATTTGTTAATGAAAAAATAAATCATGCTGTCTGTGAAAAAAAAAGACTCCTTTATAAAGAAATGAACACTAAAATAATGTTTAATTGTGTCATTCATCATAAAGATTTCATAATATGAGATTTACTTATATTTTAAGAGATGCGTAGAAACATTACCCTAGCTTTATACTAATTGTCGCTAAATAGTTAGTTAATTAATATCTTGAAACACTTTTGAAATTATGTAGGGCACTCATGTTAATTAGAAACTTCTCTAACATTTGTGTAAACTTTCTAATTATTTTTAAAGGATTTGATCTATAGCAGACGATATACTGACCGATTTTTTTTATTGATAACCTAGTTGAGTAACGTTTAATCTTAAAAACTGTAAACACTGGGTTTCCAGACAAAAGATAACATAAATAATGAAATTATGTCCCGAAAAATATTTATTATAATTTCTGAGATTTAATTTCCTTTTTTTCTGGTTTGTGCCATCGCAAAAAATTGCAGAATCCTCCAAAGGATTTACTATAAACTAACATACATCAGAAAAACCAAAATGCTCATCTATAGTGATTGTACACAAGCTTAATAATATTGCTAATGCAAAAAGGGAAAGTTGTATAAATGCTGTAGGTAACTGGAAAACTAAAGTCAGTTATTGTTACTGAACTCAGTATGGAACACTACTGTCCAAGATGAAATAGCTTCATTTTCTCTGAATGCTAATCTAACGAGTGCTGGATGTCTGTTACACAAGGTTATTCTAAAATATCGGATAAATATCGATATTTTTTATATTTATTTTGTATTTATATTTTTTTATATTTATTTTATATTTTTTTATATTTATTTTATTTTTTTATATTTATTTATTATATCGATTTTTTATTGTATTTTTATTAAAATTTTAGATATCCGATAAATTTATCGGATAATATATCGGATCAAGAAAAATCAATTTGAACAGTCAAAAGCCTCCACAGCGACCACTAAGAGTGGTTACACCGAACAGGCTTCAAGCAATATAGAATTAGATCAACTATTATCTGGATATTGTGCCACTAACCACGTTTTCACTGATGTACTTTAGGGTAAGATAAAAAGAAAACGTTGAGTATTTTTCTTTCCAATGGTGCCAAGGAAAATTGCCAAATAACATTTGTGGTCAGAGAAGACTTATAATTTCGTTATTTTGGATGCTTTTTCCTAGATACCCCGTGTAACGAACGTTTAATAATAATTAAAAACGACTGGAAAAAGTCATATCAAAAGGCCGGTAATTAAATAAAGAACAAATTTATCATTTTGGGGAGATATACTGTAGAGACTCTGTATAGTAAGTGGTAGCTGATTTATTTGCGTTTATGTTTAAGCCGTTATCACATTAGCTGTTTGTTGCCGGGACAAAACGCTTGTAGCAACAGTTCTGAGAAACGGCCTTTGGCGAAATAGGGTTACCATCTTCACTTGGCAAACAGGCTGAAAGCCAAACAAGATCAGTTTTATCGCTCAGATTGGCGAAAGTGACGTTTCCTTTCAAGTGACATTCGCTTCTTCGTGTTGTTTTGTATCGCTCACAACGCTTTTCGTTTTTAAACTTTATGTTAGTAATGGAAGATAATAGAAAGGTGATTGCTATCAATTAATCACTTTGATCTCCACTCTGGCATTCATGTAACAGATAAACACACTTCTGGTTATAGCAATCAATTACATCAGTATAGCCAAATTCTGTATAACACCTAAGAAGTTTAAAAACAGTGCTGGATAAGTCTATTTATCACACATCGCTTATGTCTATTTTCTGTTGTCTGCATTCAATGAAAATTTGATTGGCTCACTGGAAAAATTGTGACCTGGTGAAAGCATTTTCTGACTAACATTATGGCTCATAATTACTGTTCTGTCCATTCAAATGACAAAAATTTATATGGCTGATATTTACCTCCTCACAGCCAGCAGATACTATTCAGCAAAATGAAGATCAAATAAAGCATATGAATACATGAGCAATCAAAACATGTGCGAGTTGTTTACTGTCCAATAGAACACTCGGTAATATAACCTAAAACACATTAATTATACCAACTCTAGAAATTAGGTGTTCAATCATGGTTTGTTTTATGGTTTGGTTATTGAGATTACAGACAAAGCCACTAGGGCTATCTGCCTAAGGGAAGGGATGCCTTCGGGGAGGACTTTCTAAGGGAAACTGGCTCGTATACACGTTACACATGGGGAAAACCACGAAAGCGTCCATGCAGCCAGCCCGTTCGCGGGATTCGAACCTCGGACCGACTACCAGTGTTCAGCGACTTTACCGCCGGCCGCTGGTGGGCTCAGTTGGTTTTATGTGATTACCGCAAAGCCTCGAGGGATAACAACAGGAGGGATCCCTTTGTAGAAGATTTTTTAAAACTGGCTCGTATACCAGTTACAAATGGGGCAAACCAAGGAAACGTCGTGTAGCCAGCCCGTTCGCGGCATTCTAACCTGAGACAGAACTACCAGTGTTCAACGACGCTTCGGCCACTAGTAGGCCCGTGCAATTCATTATGTAAACAGACATGAAGGTGATAATCAGTTGTGCGCTGTTTTAAGTAATCAAATGTTATAAATGCACAGCTGTTACATTTCTTATTATTTTTAGTCATGTTTTTATTACGTAGATCATACGTATGATATAATTATGAATTAACCCAATAACAAAATGTGTACACTCTTTAGTACTCAAATACTCATCAATTATTTTTCAACTGATTATTTACCTACCCATAATATTTGCAAAGAACTGATAACTATAGTTGCTGCCAATTACATATCGTTATCTGAATTAAAAGTAACTTCAAATAAACTTCTTGGCAATGTTCATTTTTGTATTCATACATACATATATATATACACATCTAATAAGTCATATATTTACATACAGATAGAGAGATGCAATGTTTTAGAAGTTGTTATATATATTTATTAGTATTAATGTAATGAATAAGATTTATATTAATGAATGTATATACAAATGTTTTTCATCATCATGCATAATAATAAATCCATAAATTTCAATGTTTCAATATGTAGCATTTACAATAAAGTATAGTTTCTAATGTGTTTTATAATTCAAAAAGTATTTCATTAATAACATGAAAATAATAGACCAAATTAATGAGTATTCTCATTATTACATAAGCTATGCTTTTCTTTTTTATGCATCCTTTTATGCTGTTAAAATGTGTAACTGATTATGCAGTTCCGCGCATATACAAACGGATTTTAAAAAAATTTTCAAATTTAAGAAATAAATTCTATTATATAACAGTGTTATATATACGATCAGCACGAAATACGACAAATTTTGGCGAACTTTTGGCTACGAACAATTTGTAAACAAATCGAAATGCAAGAACGTCGTAAAATACTTGTCAACTCTGAAATTTCCCGATTATATATTTAATGAATATAAACACATTTAAAAAAGACTCGGGGCAGTTGTATTACAACAACACAAGCAATGATTAAATCGGCCTCTATTTCCACCGTCCATCACTTCACAGTGAGAGCCATCGCCATATGAAGTTACCCGTGATCCCTTCAGAAGCTGACCTTTCATCTGATTGGTTGAACGTTCGAGGAACACGCTCCGGCCGGAACATTTTGGGAAATTTTTAAAATGTTGCTCGTACCGGGACACTTCCTCCTCCTAGTAGACAATTTCTCGGAAGCCTGCCGCTTAAAGCCGTACTACTAGAATCTCGTTTCTCGCAATTGACCCGGGTAAGCGCGCGCGTCTACAGATGTGATAACAGCATTAGGTTGCGTGTAACTAAAGACGCACTTATTATATCAATGAGAAGCTCTATTAACAACATCATACAACGACTGAACATTAATACTGAATACATATTTAGAGGGATCTAAAGGTCCCTGGGTTTCGGCAAGACCCGTACGAAGCCCCTTCTTTCGAGCTATTGGAACACTCGTGTCCAGGTGGGTTGAAGGAAGCCTCCAATTCTTACATATTTACAGGGGGGACAGTAGGCATTAACAGCATGAAAAAATACCATCTATGGCAAAGGGGTCACAAACCAGGTTTAATTGAAGAAAATCGTAATAATACATAGTTATGAAGTGTTAGCGTCGAGTGGAACAAAAGGAGTCAATATTAAGTAGAAAAACCTTTAATTGACAGAAAGCAGGATAACAATGCATCATAGTTTAAAGTTAGAAAGAAGATGACGAGACGGTTTTAGAAGAATTGTTCGAAGTTGCGGCCACGATAGTCATTGACAGATGACATCGACGGACGAAGGATTGCAGAACACGTTCAAAAATACCCCGATGTGCTGGCGATGTCTGCAGAATAGCCGACGATCCGTGAGGTCAAATCGTCCAGTGTATCCACAGACCTCGGCCTGGACCTCAGTCCCTTGGATTTCTTCATCTGAGCCCATATATATGTGTGTGTGTGTGTCAGATTATTTAATTTACGTTTTCCCAGCTTTATAAAGTTTCACTTTCGCGAAAAACCAAAATTGGTCAAAAGAATTTTCAGTTTTTCGAAGGAAGAGGAAAAGCGGAAATATTTTCGTTTCTTTGTTTTTTGCAATCATTGTAAAACAATGACTTTTATTCTAAAATAGCATATACGTTTAAGGTAAGTTTGCAGAGTGCTTTGAGTCCTTCAAGGAATTGAACACAGTGCAAGAAATGCGTCAGACTTGGCGGTCAAGCATATATTCTTACAAGCTTATTAACCAGAACAAATGAAAATTATCTCATCTAAATTTAATGATTAAATAATTATTAAATTTAGATGAATTAATTTAATTATTACTAATTAATAATGAAATTTAATTATTACTAATAATTAAATTAGCTTATCAAAAATTAGCTCATCTAAATTTTGACATCCGATTTTGGGACAGGAAAGCACTGATATCATACTTGCAGTGACCTAAAAGATGCACATGACAAATAAGATATTAATAGATGATCTTTGTTCTGTCTGTTTTTATAGCATAGTCCCTAAATCTTCTACAGCAGCACCTTATTTAACGCATCATTATCATTGCCACCCCTTTAAATGTTCAGTTCCAATTCTTTTCAGTTTCAGAAGATGACACTATGTTGTTACATATTTATTTCCGTTTAAGTGGATTACCATATAATTATTTATTTAGTATTGTTTTAGATTTTTAAGATTTCTTTTTTGTTATGATTTTATAACTTTCTTTAAAGACCAAGGAATATTCAAAGACTTTTCCCACATAAAATAATAATAATTGGTTCTTCGTAATGCGTCATTTTGGCTTATATAAGTTTTCACAGGAACTAACTACTTTGGTAAAACTGGGGGCTCCTGCGGTTTGAAGTGCACTAAACAAATGCACTCTATCTTATGCAACACGATCTAAAAGCTTGTATTGTGAATTTTGAATACTAAGCTCTATCCTAATAACGTCTGCTTATTTTTATTAAATTCTTCAGATATTTTATATGAGTAAAAAGGTATTTTAAGAAAACAACGTCCCTCCCATTTAATAACAATTAAGTGATGATAGGCATTCTCTTTGTCTTTCTTAACGTCTTTTATATTTACTGAAAATATCAATTGCAAGGTACTAGTTAAAATTTGTTTTTATGTTGAGGAACTAAATATGCATGTAAACTTAATTCTTTCAAAATAGTCACAATACTACTCATAAATCTATTAACATCAGTGTAATTTTAGTTTTGCATACAAATGGCCAAAAAATTGCTGAACATTGGTAGTTCGACCCGGATGCAAATGCTAGCAGTCCACAAGCGGTGGAGCGGTCAAATAATCCAATCTAATCTAATAATTTTATTTTTTAACTTTATGCATTAACTGAGTAAATATAGATTATAATTAGACTTGCAGTAAAATTATTTTCTTTTAATTAAAGTTTAAATTTCAAATACTTTTTGGTCTTCATAAGCTCTGGTTTTCATTTCTTTTTTAACCAAAACAATATTTACAAAAACTTTCTACAAAATATTTTTGAAAAACAATGTACTTGCGCAATCAATGCGCATTAAATTTAGAACGAATTTTGACGTTGATTTTTCTAAGTATTTCGCTTTCTCAGAATATGATTATTAAATGGGTTATCAGTTTATTTTCAACACGATGAATGTAAAGCTGATAGCAACTCTGATCGTCTTAGCTTCTACTGATAGTATAAAACGCTGTCTTATAAGGGAGAAAAATCTTTCTCACAAACTGATTTCGTAAAATAAAGTTGAAAAAAGTAAGATGCAGGTAAAATTGCATGTCTGAGATACTTTATAATTACTTCTTTTAAGATTAGCTGTTCTCGGAACTTGTCTAATCTGATAAACAAATTTATATTAATTTTCTTTATTTTTAACCTATCTTTTTATTTGAGTAATCCCATGGCTAAATAGAATACACAGACCATCTACCAAGTTTCTTAGCTGATTCTAATAAATTATAATTAGTATTTATAATTAATAACACATCTCCTTTTGCTTTCTTTAAAATATTACTTTCTTATAAGAATATCGTTTAAACGCCTTATAACAAAAAGTTTTTCAAACCTTAATTTTCATACCAGTTCTTATAAAAGTTCTTAAAAAATGACGCAGCTGTCATCAAGCAGTTTCTTTCAAAGAAAATTAAAATTGCTCTTAATCATGTCTCTTATTGGTCAGATTTGACACCTGAAGACTACCTTTCTGTTTCATTTAGCGAAATGCCATTTTAAAGGATTCCATTTTGATAACAGTGTAATGATTTTAATTTTGAAAAATAAAAGTAGTACAAATATCGCATTATTTATGGGATGACCCAATACTTCGTTTGGCAAGAAATCATAGTCTAATAAATATTTTGCTTTACATTAGCTTAACTAATTATATCATTTTATATATTTGAAATCTTAAGCATCAACAGTGCAAATTATCATTGTCAGAAATGGGAGGGGGGAATTGTGCTGGGAAACAGAAGAAAGGTGTCCAAATTAACTAAACATTATTGAATTTATTATCGAACTTTTTGATTTATTCTATTAAAGGGGAAACTTTCGAAAGTTTTAAATCATTATCTCTGTTAATTTGTCCTAATGAATTTCAATTAGGGCAATCTTTCATTTAGGTTGTTTTTATTTAATGCATTTTAGCAGCCATAAAATATATATAATCCTGAAATCCTGAGCGGTGCTGATACTGCTGCCAAGAAGTGCTGTACAATAACTAGGAGTTGCTCATGAGAAAGCTTGAAAAGATTTTTCTCTGTGATGACATAAACCACGAGTGTGTTTGCTGTATACTTTTCTGAGATATAGTTTCATTATTCAGTTAGAAGCCTTACTTCATGTGTCAATACACATAAACAGAATCTTATTCCCAAGAAAAATATGCAGTGCGGATACGCTTGAGTCAGGAAATAATGCTTAAGTAAAGGATTTATCAAGTAGACAGAATATTATATGAAATGAAGGAACTTTCTTGCGATAATATTAAGAAAATACAGATCTTTTAAAAATAAATGTTGTTATTCTTTTCTAGAAGAGCCCTTTTAAAAGTATGATAGTATTTATATAGGATTGGATCTACACAAAAGAAGCAAATAAGAAGAAAACATATAAGAATCTAAATAAAAATTATTAAAAGTTATAAGGAAGCTATAGATCAGTTACAATGTAATGCACTCTCCTATTGCCTTTTAGAAACTACTAATTAAATTCCTAATGACTGCACTTTCTTCAGTGTTGAAATGAGGAAGTAAATAATTCAAGCAATACTTTATTAATACAATTAATTAATCTCATTACTGAAAAATAAGCTATTGTCTGTTCCGTATATGAAGTATTTTGCTTTTTTACATTAGTTTTTCTGTTTTGTTGCAGTGTCTGGAACATACGTGGTATCTAGCAGTGGACATGCAGTTACATATTCTGGGCCTGTTTGTCCTGTTGCCTCTAATAAAGTAAAACACCTTCAGCATAATTAATTAGTATTTTAAATAATGTAAATCGGTTATTCCACTTTGCGCATAGCAAATTTAAATTTATTTTGTTTTTCTTAAAGGACAGCAATCGTTTTAAGACTTTTAAAAAATGTATTCAGGGTAAGTGTTCAGTAAAATAATAACAAAAAATTCAGTCTAACGAGCGCGATAAAACAAATTTTCTCAAGCTAATTTTTTTCTTAATTTATATGCCTTTTTCTTTGAAATATACGTAAGAAACTTGTGTTGTTACTAGATGTTACTGGATTTATGTTGGCGCAGGATTATTAAGGATTATCTCAGAATGTAAATACACCAGTTCTGTCTTCCATAAATCCGAAACCTTTGAAATATTCAAAATGACGTCGAAGCTTCTAGAAAGTTTCTCATTAGCTAGTGTAACACAATATAGAAGATAATCTAGAAAGCATTACATTTACGGCAGTTTGTGAAAGAAAGTGGTAGAATGTAACTGCTTTAAAGTCTGAAAAATGCAGATCATTATTTTCTATACATAGAGTGAGAGTAAAGAAGAGAAATTTCTGTTCATAATTAAGTCTTGAAGCAGCCGAAGGTAGAAAATTCTGCATTTGCCCCTGCCTGTTTGCTTTTAGTTAAGTTTAGTGGAATGACCTCTTCGCTTTAAAAGGGATTACCAGCAGCCTGCACTTCATCCATTCCTCCATAACTCAACGAAAGCAGTTCAGCTTATCGTAGTAGGAATGCGCGTTACTGTGAAATGAATTTGGAATAAAATTTCTACCGTAATTAAGCCAAATTCTTTTTACATTATCTAATATTTATATTGTATTCTGTGCTATCTTTCTGAAATATACTGGGTTAAAAAAACTAACTCTGAATACATAATATAACTTTCAATTCAAAATTATTTTTTAAACTCCAGTTTTCATACTTTATTTCCATCTAATATTTTTTCTGCCAAATTCTATATTGAATACTTATATTGTACACAAATATGGACTGCAATAGAATTCATAAGATGATATAAAAGAAATGCATATAGCTAGAATTAATCTAGCTAATTAATAATAGCTAGAATAAGAAATGCATATAGAATTAATCCTCTTAAATTCACAATGTTAATGATTTAAATACCGGTTGATATTCACATAATTAGTGTTACGCGATCCTGAGATAAAGTGCTTAGTCTGCCAGGTACATCTGAAATCCCCAATGGAAATGCTTAATATGCTATAAATTACTAATTCAGAAGTCAAACAACAAAAATCAGCGTTATACCTACAAAATTTTCACAGGACTAGTTTCGATGGTTTTACCGAACCATCATCTTCAGCTGCAAAACCGCAAATGAAAAAACTACGATTTTTTCATTTGCGGTTTTGCAGCTGAAGATGATGGATCGGTAAAACCATCGAAACTAGTCCTGTGAAAATTTTGTAGGTATAACGCTGATTTTTGTTGTTTGACTTCTGAATTAGTATTTATTCGGCGTGTTATTGTGTCTTAATTATGCTATAGATTGCTATCTGCGACGCATAACTATTTGCAGAACATCAGGTTTCATCTGATGGATGCTACCCTAAAAAAATGTGTTACAGCATACTTTTCTGGAATTCATATAAATTGTTCATATCACAATTTACAAATCCTTCGACGTATTTTTCTTCGAACAACGTAAAAATTTCTAAATTTAAAATGAATTAAGCAATTTATGTAGAACAAAGCGTACATGAGTTTTTGAAAACAATGTTTTGAGTAGAACGATTTCAAACTATACAGTCTTTCGAATATTTAACTCATTATTATAAATTTATTTATATCTAATTGCTTCAAGAACTCAGTTTACTCATCATTACGCCGAGGTAGTAAATGTGGGAAATATCACAAAAACAGGAGTTGCAACTAAACTTAAATGTGCAAAAAAGCAATCGTTTCCAATGCAATAATATCTTGAAATATTAAAATAATGACTGAGGAATACTCTCTACTAGATGGCCTAAACTTGCAGCTGTTGTGGGCGTCATCATAACTGTTGGCTTTTCCGCTGTTGCTGCTATAGTAAATTTGATTCATGATTTGCCGCCAAGTCCACTTGGTCTTTTCCCAGATCCCGAGTAAGTACGAGATATTTCTTAATTGCTTTCTCTGATCAAATATTTCAGTTTTGATATTCTATGCCAATAAATAAATAAATAATCATACTTTCAGATAAACAATAAGGTTATTCTTTATTTTCTTTCTTTTCATTACATTATATTCACTGAACTGTAAATGATAATAAAATTATCATTTTATGGTACACATTGAAAGAAGTAAATCATGTACAACATTTCACATGCATGTACAACATTTCAAGTATAAATTCATAAACAAATTATTGAATTTCAAGAAAACAACGTCGCACTTCTAGACCTGTCTACAAATTCCTCTTTAATTTTTGGATGTTTTGGCAGATGTTTTGTTTGGAATATCGGTACTTACGCATTATGCCGTCGACCACTGGCGGAAATTTAGGTAAAGGTGCCAGTTATCCATCATTGCTGTTTTATTCTAAAGGAAGTAGTCGTACATAATAATATAAAGGAAGTGGTCGTACATAACATGACCGGTCAATGGGACAATACGTAAGTACTATATATCTAACAACATTACTGCCAGCGTTTACTAAATCTGTGAAATGGTTCTCAAAATGATGTCCTTTAAACGATCGAAAATAAACTTCGGACAGGCATCTAGGCTGATTTAAAAATTAATTTGTAACAAGCTGATGATTTCAGTTGTACATACGAAAAGACAGTTTCAGGTAATAAGTATTCCTTAGGAAATCAAACTTTTCTGGTTAGTACCTTTAACTCTTCTTAGAATTCTTTTTAGAGTATGTAATTTAGTAAATGCTCCTTTAGTACAATTTTCTTGACAAATATTTTCTTATATACAGTCTCTTTTTACGATTTTGTGAATGTTTTTGAAGTGTTTTAAATCTCAACTATTTAAATTAGTAAAGAGTTTACTAATAGGATTACATTGTCGTTTCAAAACGTTTCTAACCTTTAGTGACTATTTGAAAAAATTCTTGGAAAACGAGAAAAGTGGGAAAAAGTGTTTAGCTACTAATTATTTGAGCGTTCTGTAGTTAGAAAGATATATTTTTTACACAAACGGACGAAATTAAATACATTTCCTAAAATACGAAATTAAAGAAACATTTTCTTAAATTAAGACCTTTTCACTCTTATGTAATATTTCCTTTTAATTAAGTTTAAAATTTTCAAATCGAGTTAACCTAGCCAATTTTCAAACCGAGTTTGACAAGTATTTCATTAACTTGAAAAAAAATTACAACTAAAACGCGAACTAAATTCTAAACAATTATTACTTTAATAAAATTATTTGCATCTTTAATTACTGCAGTTATACTTGCTAAAATTTTGTATTTATTAAAATAATATGTAACTTCGATTTTTCATTATTGGATGAGAAATTGTAAAAACAAAAATAAAATGTAAATATTTTGTTTGAGAAACCATATTAAATTTTAAGGTCAAACTAATAAGAATATTTCAATTCGAAAATTAATCTCCTTTGATAATCCATTAATCATATTACAGAAGTATATTATTCAAGTTAATTATTTCAGTAGATGAAAATTAAACATCATGGCTATTTGATGCGCTGTGAATTGATTTTTTTTTAAATTCGTTTATCATATGTCTTCTTTAATTTTAGTAACTAATTTAGAGACAAATGAATATGATTCTTAGACATCAAATTAATTTGTTCACTAGTAATTTAATTTAAATAAAACAATAAAATGCTTAATTAGTGTAATATACTGCCTAATTAGCTGATTCTGAACACATTGATTTCCTTTAGCAGTTGTTGCAAGCTTAAAAAAAGACCTTTCACAAACATAAGACATTGCATATGAAAATAATATTTTTTTGCATTTGTAGTTATTTTATTTGAGAAGAATCTAAAACATGTGTGATTTTCTTTTACAGTGATAGAGTTTATGTCGAAGTACCGAATTATTTTAAACCTTACGGTCACGTTGGACCTTACTTCGTTGGCGTACTTCTCGGTTACATTCTGGTCAAAAAGCCCAAAATACAGATACCTTTGGTAAGTTATTTCTCATAAACATTTTAATAAGATTTTCATTCTATATTGCGTTGATTAATGCTTAAACATTCTGTCATTGTTTAGTTTCTGCTTGTAGAATGCACAGTTTAAAAGCAATGTCTATCTCGGTGTTTTGTCGCCTATAGTTAAATTAGTTTTAAAAGAGATCTAAAGATTTGGCACTTATATAAAAGATTAGATATTCAACAGTTAATTATTTGTGTGGAAATTTTATGATTTTGTCTTTAAATATTGATTGCAATGTGAGAAAATATCCTAAGTAAAATTTGTTAAATTTCAAACTTTAACAAAAGGACTGCCTGACTTGCTTAAAAAATACAAAATAAATCACAAAGGCTGTCATTTAATGTACAACTTTAGTACATTTGAAAATCTTCTGAAATATGTTTCTTTGAAAAATGTATCCTTATGATTAGTTGATTAGTGATTAGTGATTGTGAAAGTTTTAATGTGTTAATATCAAACTTTTATTTCAAATGAAAAGTCTTCCATAATTTGCAACATGATGAAATTAAATCCGCTACCTAAGTCATGTCGAGAGGCCCATTTATAATATATAGCGAAATATTACAAATATATGAAAATAGATTCTTATTCTTTCACACAGTGTTATCTGTATTATCAACGATCTTCTAACATATTTGAAATAAAAGAATCATGGATTGTAAATTTTAAAGAACGGTGGATTTTTTCAGTCTCTCAATATTGCCGGGTGGATATTCTTTACTGCATTGGAGCTGACTAACATCTACGGAGCCTACCCCTGGAACAATGGCAATGTCCCAGGACCATCAGTTTCCGCTTTGTATGCAGGCACATCAAAAACAGTCTGGGCTTTGGGCATCTTTTGGGTACTTTTTGTATGCATCACGGGTAATGGAGGTAAGTTACAATATCTCAAAAAAGTATTCTTAAAGCAAATATCCCTGATTCGTATAGTTAATTTTCCTCTATTTCATTACAGGAATTGTAAATCGCATACTTTGCTGGAAATTTTGGATCCCCATGGCCCGGTTATCTTACGTATTCTATCTCGTCCATCCTTTAGTCATCTGGGTTCATGAAGCTTTTGCCCATACAAAAATGTACACCAGCCATTATTTTTGGGTAAGAATTGAATTTGCAGTAATCAACAGTAAATTATTCGTTATAAAAATGTAACCTGGAAGTGGCAGAGACAAGTTAAAATTATATCCATTAACTAGGAATAAAACTTCCGATGTCTTGTTATAGGCCATCAGAGAATAATGCTTCTTTTTATAAAATAATCTAATGCGTATAATAATCTAATCTTTTCACAGACACTAAAGGGATGTGTGAAAAATAGTTTATATACTAATTAAGTGACGAAATTACATGAAAGATCTCGGAAATAGCTTCTAAATTTTTCACTCAAAGATAACAGTACATACACTGAAAGATAACAGTACATTTTGTCTTTAAACCGCTATATAAATTAGCCATTTTATATAAAGTAACGAATACATTAAAGTCGGTAAATATTTTCTATATGACAGAATTGTCATGAATCACTCAGCTTTACGCTTTAAATTGCATCAAATTATTATGTGCTGCTTTGTTAATATAGCTTAATAGATAATATAGTTTTAACAGATACTATTAAAATTTCAGAAAACGTGTTTCATGTAATTTTAATAAAGCTTGCAATTCTAATTGTTCAACTAACTATAAAGCAAAAGCATGAGACACAAAGAAATTTGTAATATCCTTTTGTTATTCTTTGGGAAACTACAAGTGGCGCAACTTAATTAAGTTAACCCGTTAAAAAATACATTCCTCAAAATAACTGCAATGAATTGCCATCGTGTATAAGCTCCAAATTATGCAAATGGTAATTTTTTGGGTGGTCAATGGAAACGATTTAAGCAATTCCTTGCATAACTAATTTTTCTTTTCCTTCTCTTTAATTCTTTTCGTAAATTCACGTTCCTTAATAAAACTTCTTATGTGTGTTTGAAAAACTTAATTTGTAAATGTTGTCTATTTTACCGTCCTGATCCTGATTTGGATTCAAAACTTAATAGCTATTTTCAGCTAAAAACATGGAACTGAAATCTTCATGTGAGCAAACTGTCTGGACAGTGGCCTATAAACTGCTGGTAATTACTGAACCGCCAATTTGAAAAAGGGAATAAGAGCATAACAATAAAACTTACGTATTAAAATTTGTAACTATTTTTTATGAACGAAATTTTTGGTGCATAATAATCTTCATTCTGAGATATGGAACTGAAAATGTCAAGCTTGTCAGGATACCTGACCAGTATCATATCAATGCGACTGGGATTTCCAGTTCAAAGAGGAAGGAGAAAAACCAAAATATTTTAAAATTTTGGTGTTTCTTCTTCCCTTAAGAATAATCAGCTTTGAATTCATACTTTTCCACAATATGGCAGATTTTGTTGCATATATATATATATATATTTTGTAGCAAAGTAACACTTAAAAAGAGACTCTATACGAGTATAATATGCTTCTTTCTTTTTATAAATAGGTGCTTAGGTTCTGATGATATTAGAATACGAAGTTTTATATCAAAATAGATATTAAACACTTTGGAAATGAATTATTCATGAGAATAACTGTTTGGCTATTCTTGTACTGCTGTTATTGCTGTTAACTGAATCTTTGACTTGAAAAAAAGGGGGAGCAGCCTAAAATAAAGAAATAAGTTATTAAGATTTTTTTTTTTTTCGCAAGAAACGAAATTTTGAATTCAAAACTTCCTTGAAGCTGGCGATTCAAATGGTGAAGATACAATTAGTAAATAATGTAAAATGCCAATTAAAACAGCTTCTTTGCATATGCACCGTTTATCTGAAGTTATTAGGGCAGAATTATATTTTACATTTTTTGTAACCCATAATTAGGCTTGTTTGCACAAAAAGGAAAAAAGGAAATGGCCCAATTTTGCAGACATAACTTTGATTGTATGGTCATTTTTCAACATATTTAAAATAAAATAATTTTTAATTCTACATTTTTAACTTATCTTTCATTTAAATACTATACTTATATATATTCACCTGTAATCCTCCCCCCCCCCGGGTCCGAATCTCAGAGAAGGCATGGTTATAACTGTCCGTCACTTCAATAGAGGCAAAGATGATTCAGAAGGTCTATGATGACTTGTGCCTACCACTGGAAAAAAAAAAGTCTACAATCTTGAATGGAAAACTTCATTTGCGATTACACTGTGATGTTTTCTTCTTCACTGAAACTTGTTGTTTTAATTTTTAGTATTTTATTCACTTTCACTGCAAAAACGTTTAAAAATTAAATTAAATTAAATTAAATTGACATAATCGTTAAATTTTAATTGACATAATCTGCTTATGAACGTCAATAGTTGAAGATCATCCCCAGTTCAGAAATTTGACTGTCCACCATTTTCGTACGCAAATATATTAAGAGAATGTGTTTATGCTATAAAATAATTATTCATCTCTTAATAATGAGAAACTAAAAGAAATATTCATTTCAAAAAATTAGAAATATGCATTTAGGGATTTAGGCATTACTTATTTAATTTTGAGACATTTTCCCAGCGAATGCATGCATCAAAAATCGTTGTCTGTCAAGAACTCTAACTTTCGCCATCATTTTTCTTTAATTTATGTATGAGTAGTTTTGCTTACTGATGCATATTTTGCGCTACATGAGAAAGAACTAAAAATTACAGCATTTTAATTTATTTCCATTAAGGTTGAATAAAAAGTATTAAACAGAAACTAAAAGCAAGTCATAAAAATTTACAAATTGAAAATAAATATTCTCCGAATCGTGTCACTAGTTAAACCATATTTTGATTATGACGTACATGATTTCGATAAAATTATGTCATTCAATTTATATTCTGTTTCTTCCTTTTAGATATATAGCATGTTAGGTCACTACATGGTTTCCATGGTTCTAGCCCTCATCATTAGCTTGTCCTTCGAAGCACCGTTCTTGGCCATGGAAAAGATAATCTTCGGCGGTGGAGGTGGACGAGGAGAAAGTCGAGCTGAGGACAACCGAAATGGCAACAAGAGGGGCCATTCCACGCCTCCAGCCAAGAAAGTTCCAGAGCTGCCCTCATACGATTCAGAAATGAGATCGCGAACCTTTAGCACAAACACCAAGCAGCCCACCACTGATGGCCATAACAACGGTGTGTATAGAAATGGCAGTGAAGGTCTTTACAGAGCCACGAGAGAAAATGGAGTTGGTCAGTACAGAAATGGGGTAGACAATGGCTCTTTTTGTCGACTATGAAGAAAACGATAAAAGAACTGCAAATTTTCACAGTGACTTCTTAAATATATTCAGGCGTTAGAAACCATCTATGTTAGACTACATTTTTTGTATATTAATCTCATACGCAGCATCGCATTACTCTTAAATATGTTGTGCAATATTTTACGTGGCACGTAAGGGTAAAATGTTTGTGCATCAATTATAAAGTTATTTTTGACGTTCACATTGAGGAAATGAAGTGTAAATGACAGTAGTGTCATACAGAGAAATAGAACTAAAATCTTACATTCTTCGTAGTGATAGAAAGCAAAAGAAATAAAGCAAAGAAGTAAGTCCTTTGTAAAATAAAAAATTATTGCTTCGTCAAGTACCTTACTTTTACTTTCAATTTATTTACTTTCGTTGATCAATATTTTAGGTAAGGAATTATTGTGATATAAACTCATCAGATAAAAAAGGCTTATTTAAAACGTTGCCTATCTTTTTGTAGACATTAGTACATGTCATTTGTTATTGATATAGTATCAAAAACTGATTTCATTAGCAGCAGCTGATAAACAAATAATTTAAAGGCTACATGGAAGAACGTGAACATTTTTAAAGAAGCGAGTTTTACATTACTTAAAACCTTCTTAATGATGCATTGGTTTCTTCTTTTTAGCTGATTTCAGTTGCTCACAATTTAAAAAATTGGATTTAATTTCAATTTACACTGGAAATTAATACCGCATAAGCAATTAGTTTAAAATATACGAGCAAAATACCATAGAAGCTAGTTATAAAAACTCTATTTGACATAGAACAAATATAATGCACGTTTGGAAATGTTTTTCATGGAAAAAATAACTCTACCAAATATTCCATAAATTTATATTTTAAAAAGTGGTATATGTATAGTTTGATTGAAATATTAAAAGTTTAGCTGATAGTGCTGAAACTATAGTGTATTTATTTCTGTAGAAAACATGTTCGAAATGTCATATGGATGTTTAGAAGTGCGGTATGCTTTAGATATTGATTTCTCGGAGATTTGTATGTTGCTTAAAAGGAATTTCTAAAACCCTTTTAATTATGCCTTATTACTAAATAATATTTATTAACATTCTAATTAATTTTTCGTATTTCTTTTTTTAATGTCTATCAAATTTGTTTGGAATGACATAAACTAAGAATTCGAATTTTCCTTTTATTATTTAACCCTGCGTTAGGCGCTACGTTTGTATTGCACAATTAAACGCGGGAGTCACAGGTGTCACCCACCTATTAAAGTATATCTAGAATAAGGAAAATCATTTTTATGCTATTGCCTCCCCAAGAAGCACCAACAATTAATGCTTAGCTGCTGAACGGCGCGACTTCGAAGATGAACACAAAGGGCTGCAAACCTGCGACAAATATCACTGGGGACACCTGTCAGCCAAGCGCTTAATCTAGGGTTAATTAGTGCTCCAGGTTTGAATAAGCATAGGGACCATCCCAAATATATTTGCTGTTTATTTAATTTATTATTATTGTTATTTTTTGCAGTGCGACTTCTTTACTGTAAACTACATATTCGGTATGCGATTCATTTCCCAGCTATTGTTTGACAATAGAAGGGCATTAATTTTATTTTTCTCGATTGTTTCCCCATTTTAGAGTTATGATATGAAGCAACTAATTTACATTTGGAAATTAGTTGTAGTAAGAAAGGATCGTATTTTATTTTGATAGTTAAAGATATTGATCTTTTTGCTGTTTCTCTCTACCACACACACACAGTTTCTGAATAGGTCTTAGGAACCAAACCATATAGGCTGTCTGGCGCCTATTGAGTCCAATTAGCATGAATATACCGCATTAGTCTCTTTTAAACTTTTTATATGACTTTCAAACATTGACTGGTCAAAAATTCAAATTTATATAATCATTCTTGTCAAGCAAAAACTATCTACGCCTCAGAACTACTAAATTATTTAAAAATCACATTTAAAACTTCATCGTCTTTTTTGTTTCTATAGCGTAGTTTTGCGTATATACACATAAAGGTATCAATTTAATAACGTCATTTATAATTTTTTCAGTAGCCCTTTCAAAAAAGAGATATTCCAGTTTAAGAATTGAGCTTTTAATGTAACTTCTTAGAAACGTAACATTATTTCGTTAAACAGATGGAAGGGAAAAGTTCTTACTTTCACCACTCCCATCTGTATGTAAACTGAAAATTAATAAAATAATCCTTATTTCTGAATTAAAGACCAGTATAAACCTTTCCATTTCAGCATATCTCAAATATATTGTAGAGTGTTTTTACGTTTCTGTAGTTTTGCATTAAATCTTGACTCTTTGATATCGTTCTTTCGTTTCATATTATACACAATTTTTGCAAACTTCACAAAAAATCACTCTTTTATTTATTTATTTTACACAACAGTTTTACTGTACCGAAATATTGCTCTTCAGTAAATTAAAGGAAAAATATCTGCAATTAAGCAAACTTGGTTTTTAAATGCTCATAAAACTCACTTCAGTATATTTAATAAATTATCATGGTTACGTGAAGAATGACGACTATGTCATTTACATATTTTTGTATATAGCTAAAAATTATATACATATAGTGTATATGTATACACACACATTACATGTACTGGAATCTTTTAATTTTATATACTTATCATTTTTATACTTTTCAATGTTATGTATTTCATGATGTAATAAATTTTGTATATTGATACTTTGTGTGCTTGTCATTTATATAAATAACTTCATTCCTTAACTCTCAGCAATATTTAAATATTATTGATAATATTATTATTATCGTACTAGACGATAAATTCTTAAGTATTTTATAAATAAAATTAACTTCAAAAAATGATACAAAAAAACAAATACTTAAAAATAATTAGTAAATTTATTATTATTTACATTTAATGTGGAGTTCCTAATAATTATTTCATAAAGAAAATTATGTGAAACTAAACTGATATTTTTAAAAAAGCACACATTGCCTTTTATTTGTTTAAAAACTAAGAATAAATTATTTAATATGGCAGATCAAAAAGAAAGTTTAATATACTTTCGTCCCATCCTTCATCGAAAATGAACGAAATTTTGTTTCAGAAACTTTTAACAGAAATTTGGAAAATAGTGATATATTACCATATTAATCTTTTCATGCACGGTTTTTCACACAGATTTTTTAAAAAATGTAAACAGAGTGTTTCAGCAAATCGGTTACAAACTTTCAGGAGAGATAGAGTACACGATGGAAAAACACCTAGCAATGCATGATCGGAAATGCTTTCCTGGCACGGTAGTAACGACACGAAACACAAGAAAGGAACGACATAATGTTTATGATGATTAGTGCAGCGGAAACCAAGAACTAAGAACAAAAACAGACTTTAAATTTTGAAACATCTAGATTTTTACACCTGAAAAGTGAAGATAATTATTCATTTCTTTCCCCCCTTTATTTACATTTTAGCCCAAAGAGCGTTAGCCCAGAAGGCTATTCATTTCGTTTTGGCATTTTGCGTCGGTTCACTTTTCAAATTGTTGCCACCAAATACTATCCTGCGTTAATTATGCGAATTAAATAATGAAGAATCTGCACAGATGTTTGTATGTTTCTCGCATTGTGATAACACAACGGTATCTAGAATCATCAAATTTTGAAAAACGTAATCTTCCACCGAATATGGGCATCTGCGCTAATTTGGAATTTGATATTTGTTTTATTATCGATTTCATATTTTTTAACATTTTAACGAATTTTTGATTAACAAACTCAACGATTTCAAAACGAGCAATGGCGACACTGTACAGGAAAAAAAATAAACAAATTTTATCTCCAGTGCGCGAGATTGTGTATCGGAAAATTCTAAAGATATGCTCATTCTAAAATTATTTTGAGATATTGCTGTTGAATTGAATTTTATGGTTTAAATGCAAAGAACATGATATTTAATAAAATAAAGGTAACACACAAAAGATTAAAAAAAAGGTCCCTGAAAGCTTTAAGATTTTTTTCTTTTATTTTAATCTAGCATAACTGATCTGAACAAATTAAGTTATTATGAATCTGATCTAAATAATTTTTAATTTTTTAAAATTTTTAATTAGTAGTTAAAAGTTGTTTCTTACTACTTAACAACACATTTAGCACTTCTGAAAATTCTGTTTAATTAAACCCGAAACGATATACGTCAATATTATTAAAGGAATAATTTGTATATGCGTATTCAGACAAAGCGAAGCAAAGAAATTTGGCGCTCAGGTGGAAATTTCATGCACACTGAAGTGATTTCTTTTAATTTGATTCTTTTTTTTAATACTTTTTTTGTACCTTTTTTAAGATTTTTCGCACGTAGCCTCACTCTTGAATCGATCTAACCATCATAAAATTTATCTTTGCTATCGAAATTTGTTTGATGTCATCGTCATCCGCTGGTTTACTCTAGACCAGGGGTTCTCAACCGATGATAAGCGTACCACTGGTGGTACGCAAAAGAAAATAGGTGGTACGCAAAGATAGTCAAACAAATGCATGTGTTATGGGTTTTACAGAACAATTTTATTAGTAGAAATTGTTTTACTGCTCATCGCCAGAAGTCCCATCTGCCATGCGTTTTCCTACACAGCTTCCACATGTGTTCTATTAACCTTAAACATTGAGGTAGAAAATGCCACACATCCTAGTTCCTACAACTCAAGTAAAGACTTGACTGTTCCTAAGAATAGTGAAGCTAAATAATGTAGCATTAACTATATCAGATGCCTTCTTCCATGCTTGCAATCCTTTGTGTAAACAGACTGAATTGGCACCTAACAAGTAAAAATATTTTGAATGAACATCAATATGGCTTTACGCCTCAGCATTTCGTAAAGGTACACTTCTTTTCTTATATGATACAATAAAACAAAATAAACTGGAAAACTACGTCACGATTTTCATGCTTCGAGATATGAAAGGGGATTTTGATAATATTTGCTGGCAGGCATGATAAATATGTTGAAAAGTGTTAGCTTACCTGAGAACATCTTCTACCTGATAGAGGACTTTTTGCATAGTCACATTGTAAAACATTCTGTAGGTAATATTATGAAAAAATACAACTCCTCAAGAATTAGTTTCTGTAACTTTTTTTGTGCAGTCTTACAATTAATGATGAATTATTTGCTTTTCAAAAATTTCATTCGGGTTCAATTTAATCTTTTCAAAACTTTTTCTAATTCCTTTTAAGGATGATCTGCTTTTAATTATTCAATGCAAAAGTTTTATTGATGCTTATTCTTTGTCTCGAGATTTACTTGATACTGCTTTTCAGTGCTCTCAAACTTTAGAAACTGAAATCCAACCAGCTCAAAAGCAAAATTATGATGGTATATATAAAAGGATAAAAAATGACTACAGAATAAGTTTATCACTCGTGGACCTCCCTGTTGAGGAAGTTACACAAAGTATCTTAGAGTTATCTTGGATAACAAATTTCGGTGGAAGCAATCCTATTTCTCACCTCTCGGGTAAATGTGAGAAGGTATTTTCGAGATTATGTAAAATATCTAAGAACACTTATGGAGTCAAAACAAGCGTTCTTAAATTGATCTATAAGCGAGGAATAGTGCCGGTTATTTACTATGTATCAAAAGTGTGAGACAATACTTTAATGAAGAAAGTAAACTGCAAGCTTCTAAAGAAAATTCAAAGATTTCTTTTAAGAATTATTTGTGATTGTAAAACTATTAGTTACGAGGCTCTTTTTATTATTTCTGGTATTCCACCTTTAGATACTGGAATTCTGAGTAATATTGCAATGAAGGTGGGGTTGCCGTGGTGTATTTAATTATGGCAAAGCACACTAGGGATATCTGCCTAAGGGGAGGGATGCCTTCGTAGAGGACTTTCTAAAGAAAACTGGCTCGTATACACAATACACATGGGGAAAACCACGAAATCACCCATGCAGCCAGCCCGTTCGCAGGATTCGAACCTCAGACCGAACTACCCGTGTTCAGCGACTTTACCGCTCGGCCGCTGGTAGGTCTATTGCAATGTCTTACGAAGCGATTAAGGATACGAATGCGAAGTTTGAAAGGCGAATAATAACACTTGACGATTCTTGTTCGAACGCTATTTTTGTTTCGACGAGTTTGCATCAGTGGTAATTTTGATCTTGATTTGGTATACAAAAATACATGACGATATCTTTTTTTTATATTTAATCAAAACACCAAATAGATCACAGTAATATAGACACGTCGCAACGGCGAACCACAGTTACATAATGTAAAAACACAGAATTCTTTCAGCGCAACAGCGCCCTCTATACTATGAAAAGTTCGAACACACCCCACCTGTGCTCTGTTAAGAGCACACTAAATTACACATCAATAATATATGTAGATATATCACAAATCAATACTGAAAAACTACATTCCAAATTAATACACACATGACAAACAAACACACATATATATATATTAAGTTAAAGTTTATAGATATATAACTTTTAAACTTCAAAAGTATAGATCAATTGGACGGGTCTTCGATAAAGTCCTTGAGAATTACGATTCAAACACGAATGCACATACCCATCCCTACCTTTATAAACTTCTACAATTCCAATAGGCCATAAAAATTTTGATTTCGTCGACTCCTCCAGCAATACAACCTCACCCTTTTTAAGATTCGTTTCAGGAGATGGATTGAGAAAAGTATGCGCAGACCGTAATTCGAGGAGATAATTCTCCTTCCACTTTTTCCAAATTTGTTTCAAAAGATTAGTTTTGATACAGTTTCTCCTAGTCAAAGTCCTGCCTGTTCAATGGTTCATTTCTGAAAAGGTCGACGAAAGTAAATTACAGGATAAGAAATATTTTCTTGCTCTGCAAACAAGAAATGGGCAGGTTGTAAGAGCTTCTGGCTCTTTTATTTCATTGTGGACATAAGTAAGAGGTCTATGATTTAGAACTAACTCAATTTCTGATAGAATAGTCATCATTTCCTCAAAGTTAAGAAGAGCCCTTCCGAACCTTTCTCAAAGGATCTTTGATACTTTTTTATAAGCCTTTCATAAAAACCACCCCACCAAGGCGCGTGAGGCGCAATATTGCCAAGTCATGCCATTTATTGATATGAAATCTTTCAATTTTGAATCTATTATAATTTTTGCTAATTCTTTAAGAATTTCATTAGTGGGCTCTAAAGCTCTTAGCATTGTCGGAAATGATAACTTTACAATTTCCTCTCCTAGCTAAATATCTCCTTAGTGACAAAATAAAATTTTTGTTGACATATCTTGTGATTAATTCTACGTGCACAGCTCTAGTAACACTGCATGTAATAATGTTATATAAGCCTTTGAGGCGTATCCTTTCCTGATTTTATTAAAACTGGGCTAGTTGAAATCTACGCCAATTACAGTAAAAGGAGGGTTTTCCGTAACTCTACTTTTAGGTAGTTGACTAGTTATTGTTTAGCTGGTTTTCAACTTATACTTTCGACAAATTAGGCAGTTACCTAATACTCTTTTTATAATTTGTCTACCTCGTGGAATCCAAAATCTAGACCTAATTTTGGCTAGCGTAAATGTAACTCCACCATGAAAAATTTTATTATGTTCTCGAATAATAATACTCTGTAAATTTAGACTGCTTTGGGAAGAAGTACAGGGTGAGCTTCATCCTTGTAAATGCT